TTTCGTCAATAATGACATGTATTGACTATTTCCATTCTAAATATCTTAAGAACGGTTGCTCGTAGCGATTTTTACAAAGATATATTTTTTACGTAAAAAGTCAAAGAGATGTATATTTTTTCGCTCGGTAGTTTTATACAGGTACGGACAAAAAGTTATTACGCTTTAAAACAGTTAAAACACATGTAGGTGGCGCCCTCTACTAGTAGGAGTCATATTGACATAAAAATCAAGTTTCTCATGTCAAAAAACTCCCAGACACCAATTTTCATCCAAATATTGACGTTACTTTATAAATTATTTAGAAAAAATCGAAATAAAAATGAAATTTCTACACCCTGTATCTCTGAAACTAAGCATTTTAGGACATATATTTATACGACCTTTTTTACTTATTTTTATGTGCAGAATATGCTGCCGAAGTTTCCGGAATACAGTTCGAACTAGGGCATTCAATCCCGAAAGAAATTTTCAATCCCGGGATTTCGGGATTATAATTTTTCGATCTCGAGATCCCGGGATTGGTCCCGGGATTCACGAAAAAATTAATTACGTTGGAATTATATTTTCTTTCTTTACAAAATTTTATTGAACAAAAAAAACATTAACATAAATTAAACGTCATCCCCATTACAAAACAACATAACATGTAAGTTTATTTAACAAAAAAAAAACATAAAAGGAACTAAAATATACATTTTTTATTTAATTTACATAACCAATCGAATACAGCATAACACAGGATTACTAAGATACTAAAATAACAACTTATGCAGTAACAAAGATGAGGATCTAAACTTGGTTTTTTTTTGGTTTTGAAAAATTTCTAAAAAACAAGCCGATCAAGAGTATTATCACTCAAACTAGATCTTGATCATCTTCAAACTTGATCAAACATTCAGGGTTGTTTATAAGCGCATATTGTACTATCATGAAAGCCTTGTGTACGATTTAAATTAAGGAAAAAATGTAATGATGAATCCCGAAAATCCCGGGATTAAAGAAAATACAATCCCGGGATTTCGGGATTGAAAAAATGACCGGGATCCCGGGAAATGGGATTCCGGGATTGAATGCCCTAGTTCGGACCACCCTGTATAGATGTGGATTGACCTAGTTTAAGCAGAAAAATTCAATAAAACCGCTTTGTAAGCGTAAAAATTAAGAAAATACATGTATTTACAATATTTCGAGCTAGCAACCATTGACAGTTGATCGACGGCCTTCGCATGCTATTTGCGACGTTGTCAATATAAATATTTTATATAATTTTCTACTGAAGTGAGGTTGTAGATATTCTTTTAGGGGTTCTGTGGTTTTGAATTTTTGGTTAGCTTTTCTTTGTGGAGGGTGTTAAGCTGTGGTTTTTAAATTTTAATAACTAGCGTGTACCAGCGACTTCGTTCGCGTCGAATTAATCATTTGTAATGGTGATGATAAAGCAAAGCAAGAATTTCCATTAACATACAAACTGAATAAAATTTTCTCACATTTATGTCAGCATGAGAAAAAACAATATGGCGATATTGGTTGGAATTTGACTGAATTTGGTTGGATTTGATTGAAAAATTTCAAAATATGTAAAAAAACCAAATAAATTATGCTTGTCCAAGCGTTTTCCCGAAAGACTAACCGTTTTTTAAATAACAAATATTGTAATATTTGGGGGCGTTTTCACCCTCTTGGAATTTGAGATTCGAGAAACCCCTCCTTATCGGACCTCTACACCCCATTTTTTTTTTTAGAATTTAGAATGAGTGGGAGGGGGGTTAATCACTTCGACCTTACAGATCCATTGTGTCCCCCTTTCTTGAATCATAACTCATCATACAGTCCCAGAGCTTTGACAAAAGCCAGTATCTGGGACGGTTTTATAGAGGGTAGTTCTCCATCTCCAATATCAGTCGTACCAAAAATTCATGGCACGAATGGTTGTCGTCTCGGCGCACTCCAGTGATGAGGTGTACTGGTGTTTCACTGTTTTCCCCACAGAATCTGCATTCGCCGTTTCTTCTTAGTTTCAATCTACTGAGGTGTTCATTGAGGAGAGACAGTGTCCTGTTAAAAACCCCTGACAATCCGAAGATTGTTCTTACTCAGACCTAGGAAGATCTGTGATTTTTATTGATCATAAGCCCTCAGAAACTTCTTCGAGTGTCCTAGACCATTGCAAGATTTCCATTCCAGGTTGCGGATGGAATCTTCCAAGTTCTTGAGTTCCTCCTTGAGTTGGTTACCACTTGGAAAGCAGAACGGTTCTGGTCCAGTTAGTGGAGTGTTCGCTCCTTTTCTACCTAGATTATTTGCTTTTTCATTGCCTTTTATCCCTTGGTGAGCAGGCACCCAGTGTAGGAGGACTTTGTTTTCTTTGCCTAATTTATTCAGCTTCTCTATGTATTCTTTGACCAATTTCGAATTGATTGAGACTGAGTTGATCGCCTTTAACGCTGCTTGACTATCAGATAAGATGGCTATTTCTTGTTTCCGATAGTTCCTATCTAAGATAAGTTGTACGCATCTCTCGATAGCGTAGATTTCTGCCTGTAGGATACTAGGGTAAGTGCCCATTGGTTCGGAGTAATTAGCTCTCGGCCCAAACACCTGATCCCTGTTCCCGTATTGGTTTTGAAGCATCAGTATACCAAGTTATGGTATGGTCTTTTAACTGCTGGGCAAGCGTTTCGCTCTTCCAATCCTTCTTATTGCTCAATACTACATTGACATGTTTGTCAAAGTTGTACGTTCTGGCATATCGTCCACTGGGAGTTGCAGGAGTGGTATTTCCTTTTTGAGGGTGTTCCAAGCCCTGATCTGACAATTCTCCCAGTACTAATTCCGTTAGTGACCATTCTAATCATTGTCGCATTGGCATATCTACCAATGACAATGTGCAGTGGTGTTAGATCTAGAATGACCTCCATTGCTGCTGTTGGACAGGTTCTCATGGCTCCTGTGATGCAAACACATGCTAGTCTCTGGACTTTGCATAGGTTTAGCCTTGCCGTCCGTTATCCGGTATACATCCAGCACAAAATGTTAGGGGAGCAGCCCCATCTATTTCCGGCCAGTCTTCTGCATATCATGAGAGCCTTTATGGCTTTGCTGGTAGTGTTCTTAATATGCCTGTTCCACAGGAGTTTACTGTCCAGGGTTATTCCCAGGTATTTAACTTCCTGTGTTGGCAGTATTTCCTTTCCATCTAGTTGGATTCTTTTCAAGTTTTTCAGACTTCGCCTTCTGGTGAATGGCACTATCGCGGTTTTGTCTGAGTCTGAGTTGATACTCAGTCTGTACACCCCATAGTCAATCCGTTTACCAAAAATCAGCTTTAAACGTCAAGCAGTTTAAGCAAAATCGTGATTACTCAATGGTCATATTTTATGAAACACCCTGTATAAATTTATAAAAAATTTTAAAATATGTAAAGCAACAAAATAAAATATACGTATTTAAGAGTTTTTCCGAAAAACTCACCGGTTTTTAAATAAAAAAGATTTTAATATTTGATGGATAGTTTCACCCCCTTAGAATTCGAGTTTCGAAAAATCCCTTCTTATCGAACCACTACACTCTATCAATCAAGTCAATCTGTTTTCCAAAAATCAGCTTTTTACGTCAAGCGCTTTAAGCAGGATCGTGACTAATCAATGACCAGATTTTTCGAAACACCCTGTATACATTTTTAAAAATCTTAAAATATGTAAAAACAAAATAAAATATACGTGTTTAAGCGTTTTTCCGAAACTTGACCGTTTTTAAATAAAAAATATTGTAATATTTGAGGGGTGGTTTCACCCTCTTGGAACTGGAATTTCGAAGAATCCCTTCTTATCGAACCTCTACACCCTAGAATCAACCTGTATGCCAAAATTGAGCTTCTTACGTTGAGTGGTTTGAGCAGGATCGTGACTAATCAGTATGTCAGTCACTTAAGGATTTTATATATTAGTATAGATTAACTGTGATTTTACAAAAATATTATTAGATTGGTTAGCATTTGGGTTGCTTTGGTTAGCTTTTCTTTGCGGAGGGTGTTAAGCTGTGGTTTTTATATTTTAATAATTAACTGTGATTTTGCAAAAATATTGTAAGATTGGTTAGCATTTGGGTTGCTTTGGTTAGCTTTTCTTTGCGGAGGGTGTTAAGCTGTGGTTTTTAAATTTTAATAATTAACTGTGATTTTGCAAAAATATTATTAGATTGGTTAGGATTTGGGTTGCTTTGGTTAGGTTTTCTATGGTGAGGGGGGTTAAGCTGTGTTTTTTTATATTTTAATACGAATCTGAGTGATTTTTATATATTATATTTTTATACTATTATAATACGAATCTGAGTGATTCAATGATTTGATTTTAAACACAGATTTTAAAATAATTCATTTGTTTTCACCGTGATGGCGCCACCGTAGGAGCCGTTTCTCCGGCGACCGGCACGTGAAAAATTGGCGTAAAATAGCGGCAACGTCGCACAGGTTAATGTCATCATATGTTTGTGCCATCTGTCAAAATTCCTCCGCTGCATCAAATAGTACCATCATTTTATTTCAATATTTTAAAATTTACTGGATAATCCGCAAATGTTTTTGGCTTAAATTACCTACTAAAACACGTACTTTTCAGAACAATTTTTTTTTTAATTCTTGTGTCCGTAAAGTCGAACGGACCCTAAATTTCATTTAACAACGCGAAACGCTAATTGTGAAAATGTTATTGATTGAAAATATTCTAAAAAATTTTGTAATATTACAGTATTTTGTGTACTATCAAAAACGCATAAGCTTTTTAAATACCAGCGTCGCTTTTTAAAGGTGCTATTAATCCATATTATTTTTTGTAAATTTACTGTTATTATACTTTTGTAAATAAACTGAACAGGCAAGACTGACAGGTAAATCGTTAAGTGTAGACGGGGCTTAAGTTATAATCTAATGTCGTCAAATAATACGAACAATAAAGACAAACATATAAAAATACATTGATGCAATACAAATATTAACTTACACAGGCTATATTCTTCCATACAGGTAATATTATCCAAATCCTTTGATATACCACCACATTCCGACGAAAAAACAATCACACTTCACACTATATCGCACCCTTTTCCCGAACGCACGGTATACACCAGAGAAATACTACCGCAAAGAGGAGATAATAAAAGAAAAAAAGACAGAAGAAAATCAAAGAAATAAAAAAAGAAGAAAACTCGCTCCGGAGTCTCGGGCAAATCGAGCCAATCGCGATCTAAAAAGACCGAAACAACATCGTAAAACAGTTGAAGAACGCCGAAGAATGACCCGCAGTCAAGTCAGCGCACCGCGCGATCCTTTATAACAAACGAATATCCGAAAACAAATGCTAGAGTAACAAAACAAAACACTTTACAGCGAGGATCCGTCAAACTATACACCTCTCAGGTGAGTTTTTTTCACCACTTTCGACTCCAAATAGGAAAATAACACCGAAAACACGAAGATTCAGCCCCGAAACACTATTCTAGACACTTTCTGACGAGAAAAAACGGTTTTTTATTCATAAAAACTCCAGTTTTGATCGAATAGTTTACGCGTAAACCGTACAAACGGCAAGAAACCGCCCGCAATGCGTACAGAGCTTTACTGAAAGGTAACTGAAAGCCACTATGAAAACTGGCGAGCGCTGAAAAACGCTGTTGCCGTATCCTCGCGTTATACCTACGAAAAAGCTTAGAGTCCGTCTTAAAAATGCTCTGAAACTTGAAACTAAGCAATATCCCCATAAAAAATACATTGAAACTAAAGCAATATCCCTGATGACAGTCTCTATGAAGTAATTCATCAAGTCAAACCCAAAAAAACTGTAAAATAGGTGAAAATAACATAAAACCAACATAAAACCCAGCCGAAGCGCACAGGCGAAATTTTCAAAATACCTGGACAAAATCTAAAACACGAAAGATTGATTTGTTTTTAAGTTATTGTATTGTATTACAGTAGGGTCTACTAACAGGGCATTGTGGGCTGATTAGGCATCTAAATCATATACCAAATACTGAAATAGGCTTTTTTGTCACGTGATTAAGCTTGACCGGCACAGCGTTGTCCACTTTTACATTTTTTTTTTCAATCAAAATATGTTAGGAAACAAAAATAAATTATAAATATCTATATAAACAGTTATTATTTACATCGACAACACTGACCTCCTTAACAGCACTTAAGGGACATAAAGGGCCATTACTACCGCTTTCCCGTTCAAAATATTCTAATAAGGTTGCGATGAGTTTTTTGCAATTGCTATTAAGCTATCTTGTACAGGGTGGTCGAAATTGGTCTGTTTTAACAGAGAAAACCTATTTCCTGACTAGATAGAGCAAAACCGACAGATGGCATGGGCTCGATTTCTGAGAAACGTTTAATGGCGTAAATCGCCTGTTGATATTTTCACTGCCAACTGAGATACGGGGTCTTTTTGAATTTTTTACCATTTTGAAAATTGCCCATAACTTTTTTATTTTGCGGAATAATACATCTGTAAAAACGTTATTAAGGCACATTTTTAGGCACAATCCAGTGGCGTAGTCATTTTTCTTCTATGCTTGCTCTTTTTGTCAGAAATAATGGAAATCATACTTGGCTATGAATTTAAAAAAATGCTGGCGTTTTGCCCTCTCCAATGATCTAAAGTTATGGATATCTATTTCAAAGAATGAGAGAAATATTAGGTTTTTGATCTTTATAAGGAAGCGGGCCTTGATTTTGTGTTGACCTATTTGCCTAGTTATTTTTTATCACAATTTAATATTCTGTATTATTATTTATCTGCATAATTAAAGGCTTTTGAAAAGGTAAATTAACATTCTATATTAGTATTAGTAATTACGATTGAAATCGATACAATAAACAAAGAATAAAACTAAAAAAAAGTATTTTTTGAGTGACGAACATAGTTTTCTAAAAAAAATCATCAAAGATGTTCAAACTGAGCACCCCCTTGTTGAATACACAATAAACATCTTTTGCGCACAACAATTTATGGTGTAATAAGTACAAAAGCTTGCCTAGTAGCCTTCTGTAATTCTTCTCTCGTCCCAATGGTTCTTCCCTTATATATAGGCCTTTTAATTTCCCCCATAAAAAAAGAGTCAAAAGGAGTTACATCACAGGACCTAGCAGGCCAAGATATGGGATCCCTTGTTCCAATCCAATTCTCTAAATTCTCCTTTAAATAGCGCAGTTGTAACCCTGGCTTTTTAATTGTAAATGGTAATACTAATATAGAATGTTCATTTACCTTTTCAATAGTCTTTAATTATGCAAATAAATAATGACAGAATATTAAATTGTGATAAAAAAATAATTAGGCAACACAAAAACAACTAGGCAAACAATTAGGCAACACAAAATATTATTTATTATATTATTTCTGACTAAAAAAGTAAGTATAGAAAAAAACTGACTACGCCACTGGACTGTGCTTAAAAAAGTGCCTTAAGAACGTTTTTACAGAATTTTATTATTCCGGGAAATACAAAAGTTATGGGCAATTTTCCAAATGGTAAAAAATTCAAAAAGACTCCGTATCTCGGTTGGTAATGAAAATATGAACAGGCGGTTTAGGCCATTAAACGTTCCTCAGAAATCGAGCCCATGACATCTATGTCGGTTTTGCTCTATCTAGTCAGGAAATAGGTTTTCTCTGTTAAAACAGACCAATTTCGACCACCCTGTACACTTCGCACTAAAAGAGGTTCTAAAAAGAACAATGTTCGAATGCAAGGTTTGCTAGTAAAAATATTTACTTAATGTATCACCACACAATCAAAAAACTTTTAAACCAAAAACTCGTAATACAAAACTAAATTGTCAAAACTAATGACAATGTCAAGCGATAAACAAAAAAAATTCGGCCACTTGACATTTTTTATAGCACAGCTACCACCTGAATCCCCAGTAACAATAAATAATAGTTAGCAACAATGAATTTAAAAATCGCGCCCTCGACTAAGTAACTAAAAGTTTAATTGGTATCGCTTATAGGAATTTTGACCGCCTTTTCAAGAAGATACGCCTGTGCTCGACGGCCAAAGATCCGGCAACGTTGCCTCACGTTGGAACGGGGCGCTCTTCAAGTTCAGCGATCTCGTCTTTGGGTGAGCGAGGCGCGTCGGCGTTGCCAAGCCTATTTCAGTAGATTATTTCCTAGTTCTGTTCGCTCGGGATCCTCCGTAACCGTAAGATTTATGTCCGTGTGTTATTTCTTGTATAGCCGGCTGGTTGAAAACCGATATTAACTAAGTAAAGATTGTATTTAGAATCTCGCGGCATTGATAGATTGCAAAGTTATTATTAAACTTCCACAAAGAATTCGCTTGGTTCGTATCTGTGTATACGTATTTACCAGTTCAATACGAATCATGATAATTTAATCTTAAGCCATTCGGAATATGAGAAATACCATGCGATCGAAAAAAAACGGCGTCGAAGACGGCTGGGGAATGAAATTCGAATGATAATTTTGGCGAGGTTAATCTCTAGACGGCATTTACTTGCTCTTCTTTATTTTTTTTAATGGCGCTTACTGTTGTAATTAGTTTTTGTATTGAGAAAAATGTTACTCATTATAATTTTTTGTTTAAAAATTATTACTATGTATTATATACTGTTATTTAATTATGAATTTTAATAAACTTACCTAAGCCAGCTCTGTAATGTGATGAATCTGAAAACAAGAAAGGAAGAAACATATTAAAAAGAAATTTAAAATAGCTAACAGGGTTGACATGATTTAAATCAAGTGCGATTTCTTTTATTTTAATCATGTGATTTAAATAAAAAAAATCAACTTTTTTATACTTTATATATAATAAATCGAAAAATAACTGTAGAAGTTATAAAAATGTCCTCTAGAAAACTATATAAAATATTTCTATAACAACTTGCTATTGTAACGTTTAAATAGATTTAATAAAAATACTTGTTAATGCTATAAAACTATATAAAAATTGATTTGTATAACACATATACCTACTTCATAATATACAGGGTGTCCCAGAAATAAGGGCAAGTATTTTAAGGGGTGGTAGATCTCAATAAAAGAAACATATTTTCTCTTTATCGTTGTTTAAATAAGTCCAAAATAACGGAGTCATTTTACTTAGAAAATTTGCAAAAAAATTTTTTTTTTTGCTAAAATTTTGAGAACCACTGGATCTTTTCTGGATTTTCTTTCTTGAAAATTTATTCTAATACTATGTTGCCATATTATCAAGAAATTATGTTTTTTAACTAAAAACTAAAAAAAAATCCAAAAAATTTCGAATTTTGAAAAAAAAATTTCGCGAAAAAAACCTCATAGGCGTGTTTTTGGGGTTGAACTATACTAACAGTTAAAATACTTGCACTTATTTCTGGGTCACACTGTATTATATTAATCAATTAAAATGTTGGGCCGATTTTTGAAGTAGATAATTTGTGTAGTGTGAATCCATTAGACCTCTAAATGACAGGGATTTATTTTGAAATTTATGTGCAGAACTAGGTTCTTCTGATGTTAGATGTTAGATATCCTCATCCCCGAGAATCTATAATCGTTGTCAGAAAATATGCTGTTTTATATATTTTTTGAACGAGCTGTATGTTGATCAAGATAACTTCTGCCTTCTCCAATTTATCTTCTAGTTCTTTCCAAATTTTTACCGACATTTCGATGTGCAGTAAGTACTTTACACTTTTACTAATTTCATTCTCAACTTAAGACTATTTCCGAACAATAGTGTATTGTTTTATTAGGAGTACAAATTATATTTTTGTACGAGCCTGTACGTTTGACGGACCAGCGTAAAGCTAGTCCGACGTTACCGGGAGGCACAAAAAGTACAGTTTTACTCCGAATAGAACGTACTATTTTTTTCAAACGTTACAAATAATTTATATAATTATATATAGTTTCTAGAGCATATATCTTCTTAATAACATTTTTCAAAAAGTTAACAAATAAGGGAGTGGGGGGATGGTGGTTGATTTTTCAACCAAAGACTGTTAAAGTAAATAGGTAATAGGTAATGATCTAATGTATATAATTTATAAACTGTATGTATCATCCAATGTAAGAAAAAAGAGTAAGTTCATTTTGATTATCTCTGTTAGCTCCCTACTCAAAAATATGTCCATATCAAGTAAATCAAATTTTCTTTTTCGAGAAACTCGCATCCTATGAGAAATGATCGATAGCAATATGTTAACGACTTTAGAAAATATCATCCGAGGCGGAAATTTGGCGCACTAAATTTGCACAGAAAATGCTTAGACGACAATTATAAACCTATATGATACACAGCGCACTCAGTGTCACCAATGCTCACTGGTCGAATATTCAACCACTTACGTTAACTTTTCCCGCCAATTCGGCCAACGTATAGATATGGTTGATTAAATGGCCCAGGCGCGCATAGAAATAAGCCTAGCAAACAAACTGGGCCATAATACACTTCCACGCGACTGATTAGTTGGTTAAATTAAAGTGGTCGATTTAGCGACCATCAACCTATAAAGGGCTAAATAAAAAAATCTTTTTTTTTTATTTATTTTAATCATGATAAATAATATTAATTAC